TTGAAGGTTCTTGTGGACAATCATATTGTAGGATGCTGCCCACGTATACCTGACAGTCGCACAGCTAAGATGCGGCTTGAGGTGGTTGAACTCCTTTGTCAAAACAGCAGGAGAAGGCAAATCTGCAGCTGCTGCATTTGGTATCCAGCGGAAGGGATTGGATTGCACACCAACAACATCCTGCCAGGAACTCAAACACTCTTCCCTCACCAGCTCTGCAACAGGTTGAAATTTGCTCCACTTCCACCTGGTCATACCTTTTCCATAGCCATGTTCACCCAACAGATATCTCAATCCTAGTCTGGAGCTTCGTAGCTCAACACTGCAATTCGGAGATCTCTCATCTAGCAATGTCAAATATTTGTTTAGGCCTTCATTTGCCCGAACGTCAGGTTTCAGCATCTTGGTCACTCCTTTCAGGAGCCAGTACAGCTGGTGACAAAGACAACCGGTTGTCTCAGATTGACGCAGGTCATTCTCAAACTTCTTTCTGATTTTTTTGGTGTTGACTTCCAGCGAGTTGATGTCAGCATCCAAAAGCTCTTTGGCACATGTGCGACGAATGTTGCAGGGCTCATCTGGGCCAGAAGCAACAAGCCATATCAATTTGAACGGATACTGTTGAAGTGGTCTGGTTACCCTCCTGTTGAACTGAGCACTATTGTGCAAAAACATTCTGATCATCACAGAAAGAAGGAACTGATGCTCATCTGGCCCCACTTCAGATTGAATACGCTGCCAAAGTGCCAAATCACCTTGGACAAATGCACAAGCGCAACCGCTGCAGTGAGGCAGTACTGGCACGTGACTGACAAGATAAAAAAAAGCTTTAGTGTGCTTTGTAGCAGTTGAGTGTTTTGTCAGGTGTAACCTGTTCACCAATCAAACAATGATCCAAGCCTTACCCAGTCTGACACAGCTTCCTAAAAGTCAAGCTATATGAAAAGCTCTGGCAAACATTTGATGCGGCACACATCCAAGGTGTGACATACATATGTTATTGAATTAAATCTGATTGAATCTGAGTCTGACTAATCAATTCAAGTTGCATGAGATTGAGTTGAACTCCTTCCGAATAGACTCGGCTTTGCCCATGATCAACAATTGATCCAACGCTGAGCCTTTTTCCGGTGAAGCTGCTGATTGCTTCAAGAGGAAACAAATGTGCATCAAAGGTCTCCTTGTGTTGTACATGGTTTCTATGACCTTGCCCCACAACTTGTCAGAAACTGCAACCAATGTCTTACCTCGCCACTTGGACATCTGAATCGTGTAGTCCCTTGTTTGTTGGACAGACAGCAGGTCTGGTGTTTGTGTCTTCGTGATGCTCTCTTCAACCTTTTGTTTGTTTTTGACTTGCTGACCCTTGGATGACTTCACAAGGGATTGAACAGTGGTAAGGGCAGCCCAAGACGCATCGCCGTCATTTGCTGATACCGTTTCCAATGATGCAACTTCCGCCAAGTCGACAAATTTAGTTGTCAGAATCTCAGCAATGCACAACGCAATGTTCAGAAATCCTGCCTGTATGAGTCGTTCCTCCAATTCATGAACTCTGCCCCATCTCTGAGATGCTGGTTTTGGAAAGAGTCGCTTCACACACTGCTTGGCGCTCAAGGCACCAAAACGCTCCACCCATTTTGTGTACAATGCTTTGGCAACATCTCTTGAAGTGTACGCAAAAGTTGCCAGGCTTGTCCAGTATCTCCATTGTTTGCCAAACTGAGCCAGCATGTTGTCTATAAGTAGAAGAGATGACATGACTGCCAAATGCACGCCATGTTCCATGCAGTCAGCATCAAAATAAAGGACATTGTCTTCTTGTCTTGTATCATAGAGGTTAGCTCGTCTCGCCCATGCCTCATTGCTTCCCTGGTCAGTGGTGCACATGTAGACATGGAAAACTTGATCCTGAGGTGTTTGAGGACTGTGAGGAGAGGTGCTTTCCGCGTTCGTCCGCCTCAGATATTGTTCAATGGAGTTTCATACAAACACATCAAATCAATCAATGTTTTGTGTGTGTGCATGTTCCACACTATAACACTATATGTCGTTAATATATTAAACAAACAATATGCAATATTGACAGATTGACAAACTTGTCATTGCCTCAAACGGATGCTGCGTGATCACTCACTTGACGACAGATACGATAAAATGTGAACTAATTAGTGTCAGCATTTGCTCATGTTTGTTGGTACGCATATGTTTTGTCAATGTCATTGTTTTGTTGTTGCTGTTGTTGTTGTCGTCGTCTTCACAACATCAAAAGAAACACTAGCTCTCTTGCAACTCATGACTCATAACTATATACATATATGTCACCGTGGTGGCTGGTGTTTGTTTGCGTGTTTGTCGCACTGGTTTGTTGAAAAAGTTAAAGAACTGCTGAAGAACCAAAGAACACAGAACATAACGCATTGTTAGTAGTCACAAGCTTTAGGCAAACATGGTTGATCACACATGCAAAAGTCATATATAGCCTTAGCCCAAAACTGCCAAGGTACACATCCCTCCAGGAAGGACAGCCGAGAGATTTCATAGCTTTCAAGGTAGTGTCAACGCACCCTGCTCCGCTTTCATCTCCAACTTGTACCAAATCAGCTAGTCTCTTGATGGTTTCAAACCTCTCCCAAGATGAAAGAAGTCCATCAGCTTCAGATATCACCCATGCACTTTCTAGCTCCATAGCACACAGTTTCTTGTGCCCATTTGTGCAATCCTGACGGTATGAATGGAAGACAAGCCCCCACTTGTTGTTAGGAATCTTCCCCAACTGAGCCAGCATGTGTTGGTAAAAAGTTTGTGCTGATGCCACTAGTGCTGATCCCGCACGCATCTCTGCCCTAGAGACTGTAGGACCTGATATGTCTGAAGTCACCACCCGTCCAAAGTCTTCGCAAGATGTGTTGGAGCAATTCCTTCGGACCTTAGCACTTGTTGCATGTCACCAACAAGTAACCATACCAATCCACTCCATAGAAAAAACAACAACTTGTTTTCCGTTGTTGCTGTATGTTCAAGTGTAAGCCAAAAAACATTATCATATGACCAAAAAAATGAAAACACAAAAATATATATATATATATTATAAAAGAAAATGACGTGCTTTATCATCTGAACGGCTGCGACATTCACCATGCCAGTTGGAGTTAGCCAGGACCATTTCTTCTGTTGTGTCTGCCTACACTGTCGCGAATCATCACTGCAGCGGTGCAAATCAAAGGAGTGAGCCTTCTTTATCAGATTCAATTCCTCTATGTGTTTCTGGCTCTGATTTTCAAACTTTTGATTCAATCTACGGATCTGCTGTCGGAGCATCCTTTTTTCACTGACCAGTTTGACAATCTTTCTATCCTTTTGTTTGATCATAGTCAGCGCACTAGCAAGCTGATGATTCTGTTGGCTATCAATTGTCATGGAAGAAGACTCCATAGACTCGGTGTGTCCTGAACATTTTCTCCTGATTCTCTTGCACGCATGTTCAGGATCACTACTGCCAGATCCTCCCCCAAAGATACTTTCAACTTGCGAGCTGAAAGATTGCTCTGAAGCCATCTTAGAGCTAACATAGGAACTGGTTGAAGGAGCAATGGATGACGACGATTCTGCAAGCTCTGGCTTGATGTCATTCAAGAAGGTCTCCCATTCTTGAAGTGCGACATGAAAGCCACAATCAAACATGAGAACATACACAACATTGACGTGAAAAGTTGTAGTGTCTTTGACATCAATTCTCCACTTGCGCCATCGCAAATTGCTTGGCAGTCGTTGTCAAGAACTCTGCAAATCGTTTCCTTCTACTCAAACACCCGAGAGAAACAAATTGATCCCAAAGAGACTTCAACTTGATGGTGTTCACAATGAAGTTGCCGCCAGTGGTTTTTCTGATGGCTGCTGTCACCGCCCGGCGTGCAAAAGGACCCAAGCACTCCATGGCGAATTAAAGCAGTTGTAAACATAACGCAAATATAGTGTTCATGTTTAGAAGATGACTGTACAAACTAAGCAGTGTGTATAAGCCTGTCTCCAGTGGTTACGTGAACAAGTGAAGCAAAAAACTGCCAAACAAACAACACATAGGCCTATGTTTTGTGAACAATAGAACACCATTGTCATTTCTTGTGAATAGTGATTATGTTTTTTTAAGAGTTCTGACCAGTGCATTCTCTTGTCTCCGGCATCCTGAAACAAAACAACACAAACACATACACAGCAGTTAGCCGTGCTTGCAGCAATTCGTGAGGCACAGTAGGGCTTTTGTTGTACGCTGATACTTACAAGTGTTCCAAATCAAAAAGTAAACCATTACATATGTTTTAGCAAAACGCTAACAAATATATTCCTTCTATATGATGTGACACATCCGTTTGTTGAAATAAACACATGATTTGTGTCCTAGACTGCAAAAGTTTATGTTGTCATTATTTGGCAAAGCTGCTTTGATATTGTAAAGTTTTAGTTCAAAAGAAGAACTACATCTACAAAACATGAACTTGTGTTTCATTGTTTGTTTTTTCCATTGCTTTGTAAGAAAATTGTGCACAGAATATTTAAACTTAATTGATTTTGATTGGTTTCAAAACAACAAGCATCTCAAAAATCTATGATTTTGATTTTTGATATATATTTTTTGTTGTGTGCACTGACATATGTCATATTCTTGAGCAATCCTATAAGGCTTCAAGCCTTGCCAGCGGTGAGCTAGCATCCGGTCATGGAACATACAGGGCGACAACTCACCACTTCCACCGGCATCAACACACAATGCAAATCGTTGGTCACGAGTGGAAGCGGGTGGTTCCACGGTGGGAGGAAGGACGTTGCCCTGGATGTGGGGAGGGTAGGGTTTCCTGGAGCACCCCTGGAGCAAAATGCAGGATCACCCAAGTGGTCGGGTGAGAGGCAGCCGGTGTCTGTGTTATGCGTTTCCTGGGGGAGAAGGGCGCTGCCCATGGTGTTCGCTAGGTCGCTTCAGCCAGCGAGGGCGTTGCCCATGTATGTCCCCTTATGCAGGCCACGGAAAACTGCTCGGTGTAGTGGTCGTGGGCGGAAAACGCCGGCGCGCAGTGCGTTGGCAGGCTGGCGGAAGCCGACGGCTGCCGGAGCTGGACGAGGCGCGCAAGGGATGTGTAGTGGAGTATGGAGTGAAGCTAGGGGATGCGAGCGCCGGGGTACGAGGATCGGGTCTAGCGCGGGCGGAGCGTGAGTTGGGAGTTACCGGCAGCACTTTTGGCTGGAGAAGTGTGGTTGCGATGGTTGCTGATGGTCCAGGGGCAGCTCGCGGGAAGGGACTGGACCATGAGGACTCCGTGGATCCGGTCCTGGACGGCAGGTGGTGAGAGCTTCGTGCTCCCCGGCGGGCAGACCTGGAGGAGTGTGGATGCGGTGGCGCAGGGCGCTGCCGATGGTATAGGGTACAGCTCAAGGGCCACGATGGTGTTGCTCGTGACCACCACGGGCATGTTTTGTGACAAAGCTTCGTGGAGCATCGTGTCTCGCCAGAAGGGCTCGGCGCTGCAGCCGGGGCGGAATAGGAGCTCCTGCGGGGCAATCTATGTGTTCTGGGAGCTTGGTGGCAAGGTAGGCAGGAAGAGGCAAGGGCAGCATGAGGGGCATGGGTCTGTCGCACAGGCGCGGCAACAGAGGATCGGGTACGCCGGAGCTGGAAGAGTGGATTCGCGGGAGATCCGAAGCGGGTGGAGCGACAGGGCGCTGCCCATTAGTTTCATGGCCGGAGGGAAGGGGACTGTGCGGCAGACCTGCCTGAGGGCCGAAGTGGTGGCTGTGAAGGAGAACAAGGCTGAGATGTGTGCGGGACAGCAGTGGGTCGTGATTGATGACCACGGCGTGACTTGCAGGAGGCAGGCGGCGCTGAGGTTGCTGCAGGGGCCGGAGGAGGTGGCTCATAGAGCGAAAATGTTTCGCGACACGGGGGCCGATATTTGGACTAGACACAGTCTGGTGCAGAAGGCGATCGCAAGAGGCAGCACGGATTGGGAGGATGCGGCTGAGGAGACGATGCTGCACTGTGTCCAGATCTGCTACAATTCAGCCGCGAGAGTGGCCTTATACATCAGCTCGGGCGATGGGATATATGAGCCGCCAGCAGCGGCAAGTGGGGCTGAGGACGCGCTGGAGCAGGACGCTGGCAGTGGAGCGGGATCGTCGCCTGGCATGTGGAGGAGGTGGCAGTGTCTAGGGCGCTGCCCATGGCCGCTGCAGGAGTGGGCTAGGGGCGGACCTGCCCCCAGGCGGAGGCATTCGCTGCTGTTGGAATCCTGGGGGCGCTTTGTCGTCCAGGAGCTGCGGGGCCAGGCGGGTGCTTCCCACGGAGCAGCACACTAGAGGAGCTGGAATGATAGATGCTCTGTCGAGGGCCGTGTCTATAGGGCATGGTCCACCGCAGCAGGGTTGAGCCAGAAAAAAAAGGAAGCTGGGCGGCAGGAGCCGCGGCGCAGGGCAAATGGTTAACCTTTTGCCAACCTATTTTGTGCCAGTGTCCCCGGCCAATGCCCGTAATTTTTCCTAGGAATGCTCTTGGTGACCATCAGGGGCAGGTTTTGTGACAAAGCAAAGGAGGTCGTCGACTTGCACGTGTTCCGCGTCTTCCAAGTAGCAGAGGAGTTTGGGACCTGGTCCAAATCCAGACCTTTCATCCACTTGGTACATGGCCCGCCGGGGACTGGAAAAAGTACGATTTTGCGCGCGCTGCTGAAATTCTTTGAGGACGTGGTGGGCTGGCGCATGCATCGCGAATTCACCGTGGGAGCCCTGCAAGCAGTGGTGGCGGCCGCGCTGGGGGGCGAAACGCTGCACCACATCACCGGACTGAACCCCTTCAACAGCGCCACTAGCACAGACAGAAATGTTGCAGGGCAGAAGGCCATGGAGAAGTTGGGCGTGCTGCGGTTCCTGCTGATAGACGAGATTTTCATGCTCTCAGCACAATTCTTGGCTGAGGTTGAGCAAGCCTTCCGACGACGGGTTCCAGACGGCAGTCCCTTCAAGCGTAACCACGCAGGAGAAGCCTTCAGCTTCGGGGGCGTGAACATCACCATGTTCGGTGACATGTATCAGTTGGACCCACCCGATAACGCTTTCCCTCTCTACACGGTGCCGAGTGAATTGCTACCGGAGGACGCAGAGAGCAAGGCCAAAAGCCGGAATCCTCTTGTCTCACAAGGGCTGCATCTCCTGTGTGGGGACGCGACGAGTGGAGTTGCAACGGCCTAACAGAACTGACACGACCCTATCGTTGCCAAGATCCTTGGTGGAATAGTGTCCCAGACTCAGGGGCAGAGCTATGCCAACAAAGCTAAGTAGCTGAAATACATGCATAGCTAACCCGTTTGCATGGACGCGAAGTTTGAGAGCCAAAAACGTGAGACTGCATGCGCGACATCGAAGGTTAGCAATAGGTTAGCACTTTCTGGAGGCAATGTAGGAACCCGAAAACAAGAGGAAGTACGAGAAAAGACTTGGAACAGCATCCAGCCGCAAAAGTCGGCGACAACGCAACAAAATCTAATCAAAGCCAAGAGCCTTCCTAGGAAAAATCCACGGCATGGGCCGAGAACACTGGCATAAAATGAGTTGGCAAAAGGTTAGGCATTTCTAAAAGAAATCTGGAACCTAAAAACAAGAGGAAATGCTAGGAGATTCGTGGAAAAGCATGAGCATGCCCACAAAATCTAAACAAAGCCAAGAGCAGTCCGAGGAAAAATCACGGGCATTTGCCGGGAACACTGGCACAAAAAGAGGTTAGCAACAGGTTAACAATTTTTGGAGGAAATCTGGGAACCTAAAAACAAGAGGACATTCCCACCAAATCTGAACAAAGCCAAGAGCATTCCTAGGAAATATCACGGGCATTGGCCGGGAACACTGGCATTCAATAGGTGAGCAAAAGGTTAACAAGTTGGAGCGGGGAAATCTGGGAACCTAAAAACAAGAGGAACCGCTAGATCACACTCGGAAAAACGCCCAGCCGAAAACGTCACAAAATCGAGACAAAGCCTAGAGAGCATACGACTGCAGGGGAAAGGCAGAGCAACATTAGAACTCAAAACCTGAAGCTATACGGTGGGGAAGGGATAAAATGCAACCATGCTAGCTTCAAAGAAGTTGTGCGTGGTTCGACAAGAAGCCTAACGCACGACACTACTCTTTCCTGGTGCAGGTTCTGGAAGAATTCCGCGTGCAGGAGCTGACACCGAATACCCATGCATTCCTCCACGGAGATGCCACTACTGTTCCGGGGTCCTGGCTCCATGGTCGTGCATCTTGTGGAGAGCAAGCATGTCAAACGCTGCCACAGCGATGGAAGGAAATGGGGGAGAAAACTCCATGGGAGCAGAAGCGACGGATGGAGTGCTACGTTTGCCACCGAGAACGGGAGGCACGCATGCGCGTCATACCTCCTGGCGCTGCAGGAGAGCCGAGAGCAGCGTCCCGTTCTCTGTCCGACACTTTCGGTGGCTTTTTTCGCCATAGTTATTATGATCCGGTTGTGTATTGTATGCTAGGCTATCTGGATTGTCTGAGCTTTGCTAGGGCTCCCGTACTGTCTTTGCTAGGGCTCCCGTACTGTCTTTTTGGGTTCCCAGAGTGAAACCAAAAACTTAACCATGTTTCTAGGTGTCCTAAACGGTGTCCACTGGACATCTAGTGGCTGTGCCGTTGCGGCGAGCAAGTTGTAGATACGCACATGGAAAGAAGTGCCATGTTGTGTAGGAGCGCGAATATTGGAGTCCGATGAGCATGAGTTCACCCGAGTCATTGTCCCCAACAACGACGTTCGCGCAGAGATCAACAAGCACCGTGCGCGAGCCTTCGCCGCCAAGCGCGGACTGCAGCTGCTCTGGAACTTTGCACAAGATCAGATCCCTTTGGAACTTCTGGCAACAGACCCCCATTTAGCGCAGAGAAAGGTCGAATTTCTGCAGCGACACGATCGCGAGTGTGGAGATCTGCCCGGACTGGTGCCCTTAGCTCTGGGCATGCCTATGCTCTTGAGTGATCATATTGATCGACCAAAGCTCTTGCTCCGCGGGTGCTTGTGCCATGTGGTTGGCTGGAAAGTCTCACAAGATGAGACCGCGCTACCGAGCAAAGATGCAGAGGTTCCTGAGCTGACACCGGACGAAACTCAGACGAGGTAGTTTAGACTCCCCCCTCACCACGATGAGACGCCGCAGAAAACCTTGAAGCGTAGCTCTTCTAAGCGTAGCTCTTCCGTCGAAATACCCGAAGGGCCCCTGTGCGAGCAACACATGCCGCACGCGCTGAGGTGATGCTACAGGGAATGGTGGAGTATGTCCTGGTGCGCATTGCTGACGCCACGTGGGAGCTGCCGGGCTTGCCACCTGGGGTGTACCCGGTGAAGCCTCTGAAGGCCGGTTGGCGGCTCGACAAAGGAAGGAAGAGAAGTTCCCAAATCACTCGCTGCCAATTGCCGTTGTTACCGGCGTACGCCTGCACGGCCAACGCCGCGCAAGGCGGCAACTGGTCGAAGGCTATCACCGACATCAACGTCTCCGGGAACATGTCCAAGCAAGGAGCCTATGTGTCCCTCTCTCGTGTTCGCCGCAGCCAGGATCTGTGGATTTTTCGCAAGTTCCCCAGACATGTGTTCTGCGGCGGTGGACAGGTCGGGCCCGAACTGTTGCTGAAGCGATTGCGTGGGGAGGCGATTGCGTGGGAGCAGGTTGCCGAGAAACTCCGCGGGCGTCCGCAGCGCTGCGAGAAGAACAGCCCCCAAGTTGTGTGCGCCACCTGTCCAGCCACTGAGTTTACCATCCGTGAGCTCTTGAAAGGCCCCCAGCGGCAGTGCACAGGATGCAGCAATTGCAGACGGTGCCCCACTTGCACAGTAGCAATCCCGCCGGGTACTTCCCGGTGTTTGTGGTGCGCAGGGTATTCCATCTGCCGCTCCTGTGGTCAGGAATTCCTATCCCCGGGAAACTCGCAACACGCGTGGTGTGCTGCCTGCCAGAAGAAACACGGCACGCTGTGGGTGTGCGGGCGCTGCACGTTGGCGAAGCCACTGCGTCACTTCAGCCATCAACGAGACGGTATGCTCCCACGACCCTGCAAATGACACGACGTCGTCGTTGCGATGCATGTGTCCAGGAGGAACGGAGACGAGACCATGCCAGCCACACAGTCCCAACACAAGAAAGCACACCTGTGCAGCCAGCTGCCCACACAACGCAGCCGCCGGGAGATGCGGCACTTCGCTGTTGCGGCTGTGGTCCCCGCACGGCCAGCGACTTTTCTCTGTCACAGTTGCTTCTTGGGGAGGCGCGGCGGTGCGCGGTCTGCGAGAGCTACTGCGGCAGTAAGCCGCGCAGATGCCCACAACAAGAAGGCCAGCGTATGTGCCAAGCCTGCGGCAAGTGGTATCTTCAGACGAAGAGCTCTCATGCAGAGGTCCTCGCGCACGCTTGTTGCCCGAACTGTGCTTCGCGAGGTTTCCACTACAAGTGCGGGCACTGCTCTCTGCTGAAACAGCGGGAGGCCTTCCAACTCACCCCCAATCTGCAGCGATGCATACAGCGAAGGAAGTGCGATGCGTGTCGCGCTGAATACGACAAAGCCTTCCTCCCTCGTTGCACCCACTGTGGGGAGGAAAAGAGCAAAGCGGCCTTCTCCAGGCTCTCAGCCATCACACTCCGGCATAAAGACAAGCGGGTTTGTGACGAATGCCATGCCAAAGAGCCGCTCTTTCGTTGCACCCAGTGTGAGGAGGAAAAGAGCAGTGTGGAGAGGAACAGAGCAAAGCGGCCTTCTCCAGGCTCTCCGCCCAGACATTCCGTCATACAGAGAGGCGGGTCTGTGACAAATGCCAGGCTAAAGAGCCAAAGCAGCCTTTTCCAATCTAGCGATAGACACGTTCAGACGAGCTGCCAGGAGGATATGTGACGAGTGCAACGCAGAGGAGCGGTGCTACACTTGCGCCAAATGCGGCCAAAGCCAAGTGACGAGCCACTTCGCCTCGCTGTCCCAAGATGCACGGAAGAGAGCGACCAGAAGACTATGCGACACGTGCTGTGCCCCGTCGACACACGGCCGCGCCAAGCGAAGTCTGGCGGAGAACTTGCACACGGACGGGGACGCCGCGAAACGCTCGCGCACTGCCCAGTGCCCGCGAGTTGAAGCACCAACCCCCATCCAGGTGGAAGCTACATCCACCCAAATGGCCTCAAACAAGCGTGCAGCAGAGCTTCCCTTCTTTCAACAACAGACGGGGAGCGAATGTGGACTGACAGCCCTCAACAATGCCCTGCAGGAAGCACGATTCACCACGGAATCCATGCAAGCAGCCGCAGACGCGTATTTGCGCGCCCTGGAAGGAATTGACGAGGACCGAGGCGAGCACATTTCTGACACTGGATGGTACAGCGTCCAGGTGCTGTACACGGCCCTGTTCAGTGCCGGATACACTTTGGATATTGACAACCCCATCAACACCCCTGCAAGCTTGGAGAACTGCATTGGATGCATCCAAAATTGGCAGAATACGCACTGGGTGGCCTATATAATGGTTGGGGAAGAAATTTTTCTCTGTGATTCCTTGAAGCCGCGGCCTGAGAAAATATCCGCAGCCGCGCTGGCAGCTACGCTGCCGCACTGCCCGACGTACGCCATCCGTGCATAGCTGCTCCTGGAAGCCCCCCGGACCACGTCGTCTCGCGCGACGCAGTCGCCAAAGAAAACGCCTGCGAGAAAAAAGACCACGGAAGGGAGCTGTTGGGCTAGCCGTGCGTGGGTGGACCGCGGGTTTTTTTGTCCCAGATTGACCATCGGACGTCATCTCTTGCATGAACCCCGTCCTGCGGAGCCCTCCTCCCCATAAAGGATATCATTGCCCAAGAATTTAGACCCAACCCTTCACCACCAAAGCAGGTACCCAAAAAGTCGACTTTGTGGGTACCTCCTAGGTTTACCATTCGACGTCATCTCTTGCATGAACCCCGTAATGCTGAACCCTCGTCCCCATAAATGACCCAACCCAGCACCACCAAAGCAGGTACCCAAAAAGTCGACTTTTTGAGTACCTCCCGATTTACCATCGGACGTCAGCTCTTGCATGAACCCCGTGACGGGCCGCAGGGCGCTGCCCATGGTCTCGGGTACATTCAAGTGCCACAAGTGTCGGCGCCCGGACTTGTGCTGAATCGATCGGTTGCTCCCGGCGACCCCCCATTACCACCAAAGCAGGTACCCCAACAGTCGACTCGGCGCCCGGACTTGTGCTGAATCGATCGGTTTCTCCCGATGACCCAACCCATCATCACCAAAGCAGGTACCCAAAAAGTCGACTTTTTGGGTACCTCCC